TGCGGGACTGGGGTGTGCTGATGGGGCGGGGATCGATCCCTCCTCCCCGTGAGCGTTTGACTCTGCGTGCTCATGGGACTGTATGTTCATGAGTATCACGGACACACAGACGAGTGTTACGGTTAATGCAAGTTTCCCAAATCAATTGGATCCGAGCCAGAAAGATCAGGATCGACGATAAGCATTCTATGGTAGAAATCGCATCGTAGCCCACCATGGAGTTCAATAAGGTGAGCCCAAGATGCAGAAGCTGAGATAGAGGCTGTACGTGGCTGCATTCGTGACGGACTGATGATACAGGTGAAGGAGGAGGCGCGTCGCATCGAGCAGCGCTTGCGGGCCTTGCAGAGCGTACAAACAAAGGTACATACAAAGCCCCAAGCACTGTGACAAGAAGCGTTGAGCAACAGAAGCGTCGACGACGGTGTGTGTATCGTCTTTGCAACAGATCAGTGCTCAGCTGATGAGAGTTGAGGAGCTGAATGCAAAGCACCTCACGTCAGAGGTACCAGCATGCAAACAAGCAATGGCCTCCATCTATCACATTCCTTCACTCTGCCCGCCAGGCATCTTCGCGATCAGCGTTGGCGGTCCACATGCAGCTGGCCCCTCTCTCGACCGTCATAGATAACACAGTGACGCAGCTGGGCTTCTTCGAGCCGGGACTGTCAAGCGCTGTTGAGGCCCTCGCAGCCACGGCCAGGCGGCCCAAGCGACGCCTGCGCCGACCAGCGCCAGATGATGACGAAGAGCTGGAAGCACAGGTGCGTGTGGAGGAGAGGGAAATACGCAAGGGAAGGGCTGAACGACGTTAAGATTCGGCTGTATTTTATGTGTGTCGACACCTTCAGGCCGAGCCGGCAGTAGTTCAGTCATATCGTTTGATCTACGAGAGCGGGCGCCGACCAATCAAAAACGGACCGGTCAGCTCGAGAAAGCAAAGACCTTTACAGCCCCATTCATCCATCTGTCCCTTCAGGCCCGTTTTCGTTTGTCCCGAGAGGAGCTGTCTCTCGTGTTTGGCCACATGCACCCCTGGGACCTCACGCCCCTCTGGCCCTCCATCGGCAGCCACATCCTCAACCAGGCAGCCGCGCAATACACCCACCTGACCATCGACAGCAGCGACCGCCAGTCGCGGCGGATGTGGCAGAAGATGCCGCTGAGTGTAGCGCACAAGTGGGGGCAGCGGGCCACCCACCTCTCATCACTCAAGACCCGCTATCCACCCCGTCGTCCTAAATGGTGTCGCGGGACCTGGGTGGCATTGGTTGAGGGACACGCCATCGGCCGGGCAGCCATCGTAGACAAGAGGAGCCACGAGAGAGCAGAGAAGGCGAGCCACGGCGTGTCGATGCATCACGATGGCGACGAGTCGGCTGACAAGGGCACGCTGGAGGCGCTGTCCTTTGAGGCCGTCGGTCTCGCCGCCAACGTTCGGCCCCCCCGCTTTGTCTCCCCATCTTACCCCCTCCCCGCCCTCTCGGCGCCTACCATCCTCCCAGCACTCAAGACCGTCACCGGCCTGCCAAGCAAGTGCGCTGCCGTGCGTGTCGGTCGCCAGTGGCGGACGCCTCACCTGCGGGCTCTCACCATCACATCGGACGTGGAGGAGCTGAAGCCTGCTGCAGGTGCTTCATGGATAGACGGCTGCCGATCTCTGGAGGTGCTCGAGTACCAAGATGATGGTTATGGGGGCATAGATCAAGAGAGATGCACAGGCGAGCTCTCGGTCGAGATGCTGTCTGCAGTGCCGCCGGATGGCCAACCCCTGGCCAACCTCAGACACCTCAGCTTCATCAACATGATGAGCGCCACTGCTCAACAGATCGACAGGCTGCGGGAGACATTGGTGGCGAGGGGCGTGAGGCGCAGTCTGAAGGAGCTTCGTGTGGAAGGGCGCCTCAATCTGGAGAATGACAGCGAGTCGCGGGAGCTCGCTGAGGCCATCGGAACCTTAGGGTAAAAAGACACACACACAAAAGCCAGCAACTGTTGTCTTGGCGGAGAAACATTTGTGTTTCTTTGTTTGATCAGGGAGGACACATGCCATCCGGAGACGTATTCCAAGCCCCTTGCTGTGTCCCTACAGTCGTCCAGCGAGAGAGGTGTCCACATCTCAGCGGACCTGCTCTTCTGGGCCCGCACCCAATCCCGATGGGTCAAGAGATACGTTGAAGAGTACGCCGCCCTCCACGACACCTTTCCTCCCCTTCTCCACGAACTGTGTCTGGTGCACCTGACACGTGTCTTTCAGGTATGCTCGTTGTGCGGGTGACGTGCAGTACGATGGTGAAGATGAGATCGTCCCTGAGGGTGCCGAGGCGGCTGCCGTGACACGTGTCTCGGATGAAACGTTCCGGTGCGCCAATACCTTCCACTTCAAGTCGTCGAGCGGTATGTCATCGGAGAAGATCAAGAGAGCCGCGGAGATCGCCTCTCATCTGACTCGGCTGAAGTTTGTGGAGTTGGTTGGCCACTCGGACCTGAACGCCCAGCGCAACTTCCTGAAGCACCTGAATGCCACTTCGGTGCGTATGGGTCGGCCGCCGGTGCTGAAGAATGTGCATTCTCGCGTCTCAGCCGGAGACCTCGCCAATGAGCAGCCTGAGGGCCTTTTCTGGACGGACAAGGCCATGCCATCTATCGAATGGGCGCAAATATCGGTGCACGGTAAGGCTTGAGTTGTGTGAGCTCGAGACACACATTGCGTGACTGTCTCTCCGGCGCAGATGGGCTGGACGAGGAGGATGATTTCGATACCTTCTACACCAACCTGTGTGCTATGATGAGCTCGACAACCCAGCTGAAGGTCAGCCAGCCACACAACAGGGGAGGGAGACACAATCTGCATGTAACTTTCTCACGCAGGGATGGCGGCGGACTGAGGTGATCGTCTTGGACAAGCCACTTCGGCTCAAGAGCAGGACGCGCTTCAGATCGCAGCACGAGATCCTCAGCCTCGCCATGGCCCCCACCTCTCCCATCACCTTTGACTTCTCGTTGACTTACCTCAACTCGGGCTTCTCTATCGCCAAGAAACCGTGAGAGAACCAACGATGCACTCTCTTCTTTGTCAGTCACGGTTATGTCGGTGTCTGTTGTGTGCAGATGATACAGACACAGCGGCGGCTGTGCGTAGACACAAGGCCGAGCCCCCTGTGGGAAGCTAGCCTTTGTGCAGCTGACGGTGACCCTCCAGACCGACCGTGTGTGTCCATTGGTGTCGTGCGTGACGATGACATGGTTTTGCTATTATTTCGCGAATTTGCAACACACATTGTAGCAATCAAACTTGCGAATGAAACTTGAGGGCCACGCCACCTGCCGAGGGTCCATCCATCATATCCATCGATCCACTCATTCATTTCTGGGCAGAGACAGGAAAAAAGACATCAGAGATGTCCTTTATCGACGATTCAACTTATCGACGTCACCAGAGACAGCACTCTCCCCTGCCTCGCTGGTCTCGGTCTCGGTCATCCGGCTGTCTGTCTGTCTGTCTGTCTGTCTGCCTGCCGTCACATAGAAGGTCAGAGGCAGCTGCACGCCCCTTCACTCATCCAATCGTCCATCCATGACAGTCCCTGCCCCCCATCCCACTCCAGCCCTCTGTGTTGCAGGGGGCAGGCAGGAGGGAGGCACAGGAGCTGCGTGGAATGTGTCATCACATCATGCCTCTATGGTACACTCATTCGCGCATAACAACATGGCAAACAGGGGGGCACACCCGTGTTCGCTTAACCAGGCAGCTCAGACAGACAGGCAAACAGACAGGCAATCGATGCAGAGTCCTCCCCCCCGCCATGTATGATCCAATCCACACATGCATCACACACAATAGATAGAATAGGGAGAGAGAGAGAAAGTGCGTGGGCAAGCCATGCATGCCACGCAGCCACGAT